TTCATGATTATGTATGAGGGCCACACTGAGGGAAAAAAAAGATCTGAATTTTTTGAAAATAAAGTGGTAATTTCGAAAATAAAATCATAATATTTCAAGAATAAAGTCATAATATTATGAGAATTAAAAGGTAATCTTAGGTTGGGTGTTGTTTTAGAGAGGAAATATCAGAAGCTTTAAAATGAGGAATGTGGAGCATCCTGTGAAGTTGTATTTTAGCAGAGATTTCATAAATAAGGAGATACTTCATCTTATGGCTCATCATCATCATCAGCATCAGCATCAGGACACTGAAGAGATTGTGAGGAAACTGAGTCTGTTCTCTTGTTAGACAAACAGCAGCTGCCAGAAGCAGCTCAGACTGCCACTGACTGTCCTTTCACCTGTTTGAAACATTTCTCTCAAGATTTTACATTATTAATTCTTGTAATATTACGACTTTATTCTTGTAATATTATGATTTTTTTCTTTAAATATAATCATTTTTTTTCTTTAAATATAATGATTTTATTCTCAACATTACGACTTTATTCTCTCTTTTCCTCAGAGTGTCTCTAATACTCCGTCTTAGTTGATGAAGTAAAACACAAAACAAGAAGAAACAGATTATCTGATCTTTTAAGAATAAAACGTGTCCTGAAATGACACAGTGAGCACAAGGTGAAGTGAACATGGCAGCTGTGTCCTGTATGTGTGCGCACTGAGGTAACTAGCAGGGTAATGTACGATACATAAGGGAAAGTGTGTGTTGATGCAGCCTAGTTGATGAATCATTGATGGAGCTTGGTGATAGCAGTGCATTATTAATATGCGTCCTGTCCTCTGGGTGTGCTGTATTAATCACATGCTATACTTTGTATTTAGCGGGGGCAGGTACGGGTTAGGTAGTGTTGTCCACTTCAGCTTGTGGGACTTTCTGCGGCAGAGACATGGTCATCATCATAGATTAACAGTTACTATTGTGTAAGCCAGTTCAAACACATGAGCACAGTCACACTGCTACACACACTGTTGTGAAGTGCCTGCAAGTTGCATATTCACACTCCTCACACTCCTGCACCCATTCATCCTTTAGCCCTGTCACACACCATTCATTCACAAAGTGGTGCACTCATTCGTTACACTCATCGCCTCCTCGACGGTCAGGGTGTCCTCACCAACCACAGCCAGACAGACCGATCTACTGGCCAACATTTTCTTGTTGTTGACACATCATTATCAACTTATAACAGATATGTCAGGGCAGAAATGTCAAAGATGTGTTTGAGGAAACCGTTCTTTAAATGTGTCTTTAGCAAAAAATATCTGTAAGAATAAATGATGATGACGGCTGATATATCTTAATCAGATATATGTAGCACTGATATGAGTGTCAGCCTTGATTCAGTAAAGGTTTGGTTCTTCTGCAAAGCAAATACTTGAACCACTTTCTTGTAGGTTTTAGGTTTATGTCGCTTGTTTTCTTACTTTTCTTACTGAAAAACTCTGAATAGATGTTGTTATAATATGTTTTTTATCAGGAAGCCCTACAATAGTACATTTTAAAGAGTGTTAGGTGGCGATCTGGTGGCCTTTCTCCTTCTCTCTCATTCAGTCTCTGATTTACTCATATTCTTTATAATCATACTGTGAAGAATTCTCATTGATTAGTTAATTCATCGTCAGAGTAACCACAAGCAAACTGAAGCTGTGAAATTAAGATTGATGCAGCAATAGTGACTGGTCAAGGAAAATGAAGAAAGACTCGATTCACTTTGGAAATCTGACATACAACACATCGTGTGGAGGAGGAGGGAACAGCTGTCAGTTGGATGACTCCAAATTCAAACCAGTGACCCATGATCATATATTTAGACAATGGGCCCACAGGCATCACAGCAATCAACACAATAATTGACAAAATAAAAAAAAATTCAAAAATTGAAGAAAGAACCAAGATTCTTTCAAGGTGCCTGCAGCCCAGAGATTATTCTGGGATGGAGATAAAACCAGATGTTTCCCATGTAAACCAAATAGAGTGTTACACACAGGAACATTGTTGATAGAGTGGTTTCAGTTTGTATGTGGTTGGAGAAACGTTGATCATGCTCATGTGTTGGAATGATGTATGGACAGAGTTATGATGATATTAGGTTATGTGTTACCCCAGACCTGTGCGGTGCTGTGGGTAATCTGAGGCGTGAACATGCACAACAAGAGGACCAGTACCTTTTGTAGAAGTTCTTTTAGTGTCGACCACAGGCAGATGGTGTAAAGAGGAACCCCCTCCTCCTCAGAGGAACTGGCTGGACAGAGTTGTAAAGACTCTCATGTGTTTTGAGAATTACACAATTGACATTTAATGGGAAGTGGGGAAAAATAGCCTGCCTACAAAACCCATCACAAACACACAGTGAAAACATTCATGCAGCGACCGAGACATTAGAAGTTGTGTAGCTCACTCAGTATTGTTCATGAGATGTCTCATAAATGAAATATGCTTTAACTCAACCCCGTGGCCTTTGTACACAGTATTTTTAGCTTCCTTAGAACAATCACTGTGTTGTTCTCTGTGTATGACACTGTGCTGCCTGCAGGAGTAACGTTCACAGCAGCTTCTTGGGGCCACATTTCATGTCATTGCCCTCATCCTCTGAACTCCAGGCAGTTATGAAAACTAACCCTTTGTTGAACTCAAAGATGCTCAAACGTCTGAGACTGCAGAGTCTGCAGCCCAACAGCAACTTCTCTAAAGCAGGAAAACAAACCACATCGTCCCTTTATCCTCACAGCACTACGTCTGGTAGCACACAGTCCAATCTGAGGTTGAAATAATCTTGAAGGCTCCAAGGTGAGTTCTCAAAACAGTCCCTGCTCTCAGCTGCATCACTAAACAATCACGCCATCCCAAGCGTGTTTAAGTTTATTTTCTCTAATCAGGTTCATTCAGGAGGATAAGACATTTTCTTTTTGTGACCTCTAACATCAGCAGCCTCATCAGTAGCAATCAAGTGTTTTAATGAGATGACAGAATGTGTTGCAAATGGTTTCATGGTTTGTTTAACAGGCGCGTCATCCTGAACACTGACTGTGTGTGTGTGTGTGTGTGTGTGTGTGTGTGTGTGTGTGTGTGTGTGTGTGTGTGTGTGTGTGTGTGTGTGTGTCTGTCTCTATTCTCTAAATTGTATCCATCGCCTCAGCCTTTTGCAAACATCTATTCATTCCAGCGTCTGTTACATGCACACACACACACCAAGACCACCACAGAGTTCTGAGACCACCACAGGACATTAATTGAAGATTTGAAATCTAAACAGTAGCTGATTCACTGCATGGGTCTTCTGCTGACTGTGTGTGTGTGTGTGTTTTATGTGTGTGTTTTATGTGTTTTGTGTCATAGTACTGGGAGCTCTTTTAATTAGCACTGGGAGCCAGAAGGTGACATGCATGTGCATAGTTACTATACAAAGCAGCAGATTCTTATTCATAGTCTTATTCAGGAAGGACCCCACACACACACACACACACACACACACACTCAGAATCAGTACGTTGTCAGGGTCATTGTGAAGCAGCTCTGCTTGTGTGAAACTTTGATGAATGAATAAATTGCATCGAGTTATGAGTGGGCAGCTTCTTTATCCAAACTGTGAAAAATGAATCGGTAAGAACCTGATTCATTTCAGGCCTCTGCATTGATTCTCTCTGTGGATGGTGGCACATAGAAAAGTTAGATCACAGTCTTTGTGTTGGTACATTTGTCTTTTATTTTATGTGTTTACTTTAACAAGTTTAGTTTTGTCCCATGCTGCAGACACTGTCCTCTCTGTTCAGTATCTTTGTGGAAATTAATGAAACTTTTTCTTCAAGACACTCAAATACCTCCTCCTCCTACATGTTCTGTATCGAACGTGTATATAACAAACAAGGGCTGAGGTTGAAAAGTCTTTTTGTTCTTATGAAGGTTGAAACTGAGATAAATGAGCTGAAGTCTCTGAGCAGCAACATGATCACAGCTGCTCCACTTCTCTACATGAGGAGGAAAGGAGCTTCAGTGCTTCCTATCTTATCTCCTTTAGCAGAGGAAACACTGGACCTTCCTTTAGGAAAGGAGAGGAGAAATGCCGTCCCACAATTCCTTGCTGCAGCAACATTTAAAGTGACACACCATTGTAGTTTCACCTTGGCAGACCCACATAAATGTAGAAACAACAGAGCAGCTGTTTTATGTTTGTGACTCGATCCAGAACTGATGGAAATCCTTGTCTGATCCACTGAAACCCAAATCCATAAATATAGATTTATTCTCTTTAAATCCAGTCAGGAGAAAACTGCTCTCTGCTCTGAAAAATGAATTTTCTCTACTTAACAAATACATAAAACAGTCAAAACTCTGTATAAGCTCCTTCCTGTATGTCTGAATATTATCCACTCTGGTCTCTACTATTATTATTTAATTATTTTAATGGTTGAACTTTCTTTCATATTTTCTTATTTCAACATTTGAATCCTGTTTGTTTTGTGTCTGTGGTTAGTAAAGGAGGATTTATCGTCCATGTGTTATAAAGTTAGTTTTGAAAAATATCCTAGTGTAAGTGCAGTCAGATTGTTGTCCTAGGTCCTTATGAACTCTCCTTCACATCTTTCCTTGACCTCATGACGTGTTCCCTGGAGGTCAAGGGGAAGTGGAGAGAGAGGAGGTTATTTAGACTTCTTGACCGCAGCCGTGGTTTCACATGTTTTCATTTCATGTTGAAAGTTTTTGTTTTATTCAAACTGTGAACACGTTTCTGTGCAAGTGTTTGATCTGCTACAAGATGTTGCCCAATAGATAATGATAATTCATTCTTTTTCCTTTTGATGTTTGGCTGGAGTATTCCTTTGACGTGTCAGAAGTGTGCAGAGCAGCTATAACCAGAAATAAAAGCTGACTGAAAACTTTCTTCCCTCTTTTCCTTGTCCCCTTCTTCTCTCCCCCTCTCTCTCCCCCTCTCTCTCCCCTCTGTGCCCTCATCTTCTAGGTGTCTTTTTGTGGGATGTCCAGGCTAGGTGGCCTGAGGGGGTTCATCCCCGAAGCACAGACCACCAGCGCAGACACTCTCACTGCTGAGAGACTACACCAGCTACAAGCTACACCACAGTGGGACATGTCCACACCTAGAGACACCTGCACGGCTGCTTGAGGGAGAGAGCTGAGCAGCAGCAAACAGCTGAGGAGGAACTCGGAGAGATCACCGTTGTCGGTGTTAGCTTTTATTCAGCCAACTTCCATTTCTCCTTCTTGGATCTCTGATATTTTACATTCCATCCAACAAATAATCCTCTGCCCCCCAACCCCCACCCCCCCACCGCCCTCCCTCCTTCCATTGAGTCAGCTGAGAGTGTTTCTGTGCTGCAGAGCTACAAGTGTAAAGCAGGTAATGGATGATGCTGGCCATGGTGACCTAGTGTAAATGGCTATTCTTCAGCACAGCATAGTGTCAGTATCTACTGCTAGATCTTCCTCTTCCACTCCCCCCTCCCCTCACCCCTACTCCACCCCTCTGCTTTCTGTGACTGTTCACCGCTGCTGCTTGCTGCCCAGTCCTGCCTCCCCCCTCCAACACCATGGTAGGTGCAGGCTTGGGCGTGTGGAAGCTAATGCGAGGAGTCCGCCAGCTGGAGCTTCACCGCCTCATCCTGGCACTGATCATCTTCTGCCTGCTGTCCATGGCCTTCCTAGCTTACTACGTCTCCAACAGCCCCAAAATCAAGGAGGCCCCCCCTTTGCCCTTCAGTGACTGTGGAGGAGGAGGGGGGATGTCACCAGGAGCCAGTACCGGGGCCGCAGGCGGAGGGCCGGGTGTCCAGAGGGCACCTCTCTTCCTTCCCCCGCGCCAAGGCCGACTACGACAGGTGAAGGCGGTGGACAATTCACGGACAGAGCCTGTGGTTCTGGTGTTCGTAGAGAGCATCTACTCCCAGCTGGGCCAGGAGATTGTAGCCATATTAGAGTCCAGCCGCTTCCACTACCAGACAGAGATTGCTCCTGGCAAAGGTGACATGCCCACGTTGACGGAGCGTAACCGTGGACGCTACACGCTCATCATCTATGAAAATGTGTTGAAATACGTCAACCTGGACGCGTGGAACCGGGACTTGCTGGACAAGTACTGTGCTGAGTATGGAGTAGGTGTCATTGGCTTCTTCAAAGCCAATGAAAACTCTCTCCTCAGCGCACAGCTCAAAGGGTTCCCCCTCTTTCTACACTCACACCTGGGACTCAGGGACTACCGCATCAATCCAACTGCTCCTCTGCTCTACATCACCAAGCCCAACCAGGTGGAGCAGGGCTCTTTACCGGGGGATGACTGGACCATTTTCCAGTCCAACCACTCCACTTACGAACCCGTGCTTCTGGCCAGCACCAAGTCCGCCGAGGCACTGGCACATTTTGGATCTAGTCCCCTGCGGGCCCTCCATGCGACAGTGGTCCAGGACTTGGGGCTCCATGATGGCATTCAAAGAGTTCTCTTTGGGAACAATCTAAACTTTTGGCTTCACAAGCTGGTGTTTGTAGATGCCATCGCCTATCTGACAGGGAAGAGACTGTGTTTGTCGTTGGACCGCCACATCCTGGTGGACGTGGATGACATCTTTGTCGGCAAGGAGGGAACCCGGATGAAGGTGTCAGACGTGGAGGTGGGTGAGCCTTGTCAGCCACAGTCACACACAAAAACCACAATGAATATTTAGATAGAATACACTAGTGCAATGCCTAGTGGTTGATTGTGAGGCGTTGACTCTCATTCATATTCATGGAACAGTACAGAGTATATATATGAAGCAACTACGTCAACACTCCCAGCTCGACACCAGCTTGGTTCTTCAGAATAAAAGCACCAGTGGTTCCGCTTTCATTCATTTTCATTATAACTGAACTCTATTTGACTTAATTACTCCAGTGCTTCATTCAACTAACAGGTTGAGGACTAATATATTGACCTCTTAAGTGATTTTCGTAATGAGGGGTTTTCCATTAGCATGGCTTTAAGACACAGCCAAAGGTTCAATAGCAGCTGAAATAAAACTTAGCCTGACATGTGATTGAGTTTTGACTCATGACTCATTCATACATACATGATACTTGATATACACAGTCTCTAGAAGTGACCATATGTGGTGTGACACCGACAGAGAGAAAAACCTTAAAGCTGCTGTGAGTGAAGGAAGTTGAATTTATGATTATTATTATAATCATACTTAAAGAGCTGTTTAGCCTGTCTTCAGCTTGGTTTTACGTTACTAATGCAAATCTGATCTCATGTTAAATTTTCTTCCCAGCACTCTTCATGGCCCCTTCTAATTTAGACTGTGTGAAGGAGTCAGGTTCTGGGTTCAAGTCTCAGCCTCGCCCCCTCTGTGGGTTTTGTTGTTCCTCTGGTGTGATAGTGTGGATTTCTTCCAGGGAGATCCAGGTCAGATGAGGTGGGGACTAAATTTCCCATCAGTAAGTGACTGGACGTCTTTCATTACATGTTCATGTCAGTCTCTGTGTCAGTGGCTGAGAGTTTTCAGTGACACTGTGATGAGGCCTGTGGTGAAGTCTGTTAAAGGTCTGTTGAAGTGGAGCACAGCTTTATTTTTTTTCATCTGAAAAGTTAAACAGTTTATGTCCTAATTGTGGATTTGGGCTTTATACTTCTTTTGTCCAGGTGTATGTACATAAATACATCTCTTATACTTACAGTGGCTTCACAAAGTATTCAAACCCTTTTACTTTGCACTTTGAGTGTTTCCAAGAAGACAATAACGGTGAAATGGAAGACGTCTGGTGCCACCAGGAATCTTCCATGAGTTGGCTGTTCAGCCAAGAACCCTGTGGTCCCTCTAACAGAGCTTCCTGCTGCAGCTTCTGCTTCCTGCAGAGACGAGAGAACCTGCTGGAAGGACCACCATCTCAGCAGCTTTCCATCAGTCAGGCCTTTCTGGAAGACCGGCTAGACAGAGGCCACTTTAATTTAAGATTCTCTGTTCTGATGAGAGAGAAATTGATCTTTGCTCATCACTGGCTGATACCGTCCCTACAGTGAGGCATGGTGGTGGCAGCATCAGTGGCAGGGACAGGGGAGCAGGACTGAGGGAAGGATGAATGCTGCTAAATACAGAGAGCTCCTCAAAGAAAGAGTTATCGAGCTGATCTCTTGAGCGATTATACAAAACAGAAAATGAAAAGATGTCCTTCTGTAAAGTAACATGTTACATAAATCAGCACAAAGACGGAGTATCAAAAGGGATAGTACAAAGTTCCAGTGTATTGCTTTGTATAAAATGTATCACATGGTAAAAATATCAGTTGTTGCTACATGTGACTTGGGCCTTGATGAACTGGTCATTGTTTCTTTGAATAACTATGAGTAGAAAGTTGATGTTGTCGTGCAGTAAGTGTGAACATATTTCTCCTCCTGTCACAGGCATTGCTCAACACTCAAAACAAACTGAGAGCACTAGTCCCTAACTTCACCTTCAACTTGGGATTTTCCGGAAAGTTTTATCACACAGGTACGTAACACCTGTCATTACTGTATCAACAGAGATTTCTGTTGCAAACATTGTCTTCTAACACAGCTGAGGATCTTCTGTGCATCTGTGCAGATGTTTCAGCCCTGACAGTCTCCATATCCGACAGATCAATAATAAAAACGATTGTCTTGTATTTCTTTCCTCTCCCTGTGATGTAATTGATTAATGTTTAGACCTTATTGAACTGGTTTGACAGATCCTGCAATCAAGTGTAGTCAGCTGATTTATTTAAAGCCACTGACTGATATGCCATGATAATTCATGTAATATGGAGGTTAAACCATAAACGGAGATCACAGACTGCCGGAGAGATCCTGAGACTGAGTACGAGGCCAGTAGAAGATCTGGTCTGACATCAGTGAGTCTGGGTCACAGAAGCCTTTGACGGCACCGCTCCACATTAAGATATGTTTCTGAACATATTTCAACTAAATATATTAGATAACAGTAACATACTGTAGCTGTCAGGCTGTGTTCATGCACAGATCATAGACAAAAGTAAGAAAAAAAGATCCACACACTGTGAGTCTGCAAGGATCCTCTGATCTTAACCTTCACTCCACAGTAACATCTGTTGGGGGATAAAAGCCTTGCTCAAGGGCACCTCAGTGGTAATGATGGAGGGGAAAGCTGTGCTCTTTCACTTTCCCCACCCAGATCAATCCTGGTCTGGGCACAGAAGCGTCATCCTTTCACACTAATATTAAGCAAACAAATAATACAATTCAAAATAACTGTGTCAAATCAACTTTCACTTCAATAGTTAATATCCAGACAGGTTGATGGCTAAAGGTCTCTGTCTCTGTCTCTGTCTCTCTCTCTCTCTGTCTCTCTCTCTCTCTGTCTCTCTCTCTCTCTCTCTCTCTCTCTCTCTCTCTCTCTCTCTGTGTGTTTTCAGGTACTGATGAGGAGGATCGGGGAGACGACATGCTTCTCCAACACAGGATGGACTTCTGGTGGTTTCCTCACATGTGGAGCCACATGCAGCCTCACCTCTTCCACAACGTCAGCGTGTTGGCTGAGCAGATGAGGCTCAACAAGATCTTTGCTCAGGTCAGCAGCACCGACACAACCGTTAACGTAGTGCATGTTACTTGTCACAGATTATTTAGGATAAAACGGCTCATAGAAGACTGCGTGCTCTTACTTTGAAAAGACGTGACGATCACGTTTTTTCTGAAAGTGACCGAGCGATACAAGTCAATTTTAGTTTCAGACTGGCAGAAAGTTCGTCTCAAAACTCAACAAGCGGAAAATTGACACCCACAAATGCTTTTTCGCTTCACAAATAGAAAATTGATTCACAAATGTCTGTTTAAAAGTTGTAGATGTTAGGAAGATACTCACAAATACTTCTCGTTTATCTGTAAATTAATGAAATATATTCACAGGTATCTTTTTATTCATGGAATTTGTTTGTGTATTTGCAGATCTGTTTTATATTTGCAAGATATTTTTGAGTTTACAAATGTATTTTTTGTATTTGTGGAAGGTGTTTTATCTGTTCACACGAATAATATTGAGACAAATCTACCTCCATAGAAGGAGGACGTAGTTTTACTGTTTACATGATTAACTAAAGGAGTTTGTAGCAAAAGGATTTGTGTGTGTCCCTGCATTACTGGTGTAAGGACTATATGGCTACATGAGTGGTGTCTGCTTGAAAAAGTATTAAGATCTTTTCTCTCTTCTACTTATTGTCTCTCCTCACAATAACATACTTTTTTACATTCTCGCCTGTTCCCCCCCCCCTCCACCTCCTCACTCCGCACAACCCTCTCTCCAGGAGCACGGCATCCCGACAGACATGGGCTATGCAGTGGCTCCACACCACTCTGGGGTTTACCCGGTTCACAGCCAGCTCTACGAGGCCTGGAAGTCCGTGTGGGGCATCAAGGTGACCAGCACAGAGGAATACCCCCATCTGAGGCCGGCTCGGTACCGCCGCGGCTTCATCCATAATGGGATCCAGGTCAGTCTGCAGTCCTCAATACTTGCATTGCAGTAATGTTCCCATGGGTAAACTTTTCTCCACACTGACACACTTTTCAGAAAGTGATGATGAGTCAGCAGCTCCGCACAGCTGCACTCCTCTTTTCTATGTGACGGTGTGGAGACAGTTTAGGAGAAAATAGCTCTTTGTGAAATTGTGTATTAACCCATGACATTATTTCTGAAAATTGCCATTGTGTTTTTTAAATGAAACTGTGGATTTGAGCAGCACAAATGGAGGGGTCCTGACAACATGGGGCCCTCCACTCACCTCCATTCTCTGTTAATAGATATCAGATATCAGACAGCAAGCAAACTTGACTTCACTTGACAAACAAAGTTTCTGGAAGTTGTTCACAGTGTCTCACAGCAGCATGTCTCATGGATATTATCATCACATATCACAAAATAAATAAAAGAGATAACTTCCTAGTTCTTGGGTAGAGTGAGAAGCCGGCACAGTCAGGAGCACAGTGCAGAGAAGCAGGGCCTCAGTGTATCAGGAAAAAACAGCTCTGGAAATGATTTTGTTGGACAAAGACCTGCAGCACCTCCTAGAGGACAGAAGTGGAACAGATATGATTTTACTACTGTGGAAGTAAACTATAAATACAGTATGTAATCCTCAGCCTTTTCCAGAGGTCATGAATATAGCAGTAAGAACTGTGATTCCATAGTTACCCATGTTACAAACACTGTGGATCAGAGCCAGATAACTGCTCCACTGCTGTTTCGTCATAAAGCTGCACTTTTATTCAGGAAAAGACACAGTAATGGATTTTGACTGGAGAGGATTAAACACATGCAGAATAACATTTCATTTACCCTTGTGTATTGCTTCCAGATGTATACTGACGCATCATCAATTAAAAATGCTGCTTCGTGTGTCTTTGTTTTGAATGCTGTGCAGCTCCAGGCTTTTAATGAACTGCAATGAGAGCAATGCACAGTGCAAACAAATGATCCACAAGACCAGGTCAAAATCCGGTGTATGTCTGGACCTCGAATGGTCACTGAGCGAAATTGAGGATGTAGTTGAAGACTGTTGCGGAGCTGCGTCGTATTTGCATTGAGTCTAGTGTCAGCTGGTTTAACTGTTCTCTTCTCTCTTCTTCTCTGTGATCACATATACAGTATTCAATACAGCTGAATTCACAATACAGCTGCTCTCATTGACATGTTTTTATTCCTTCGCGTGGCGGCAGTCAGAGCACGAGACATATTGTTTTCAGGTCGTCTGTCCGTCCGTACATGGATGCAGTATGTCAGTAACACCTTGATGGAACTTTTGGTCGTCAAAGGTCAAGGTCACAGTGATCTCATGTTCTTGTGAACACAATATATCAGGAATGCCCGGAGGGAACTTCATCATTTCATCACACACTGACACGCTGTGACCTTTGCACACTATCTATGACGCGATTTAACTCAAATGTCTGTAAGGATAAAATGAGGTGATGACATTTTATATCCAAAAGGTCAATTTCACTGTGACATCATAAATGTTCTGCAAAAACACTTATGGCCATTATTCAACACTGTAACTCAGGAAGGAGAGACTGAGGCCATATTTCCTGATAATTGACTGGTTGGTGGAGGGATACAGCCACAACTAAGTCCACTTACTGGTGACTCTGATAATGAAAGTAGCTCAGGTTTGTCCAAAAAGTTGCTACATTTCTCGCTTGGTACCTTTTTTTGCAAATAGTCTCTCAATCTAGCGACAGATGACTAATACTGACTAATTACTGACTCTTGCCAAGTCTTGATCTGAAAAAGCAGCTAAAATGCCGTGAGTATGTAAAAATGTCCACAAGATAGAGACTGAGGACGGATGTAAATATACACCAAAAAACTGATGATCTCTTTGTGTTGCAGGTGTTGCCCCGGCAGACGTGTGGTCTGTTCACCCACACAATCTTCTACAATGAATACCCAGGAGGCTCAAAGGAGCTGGACAAGAGCATCAGAGGAGGAGAACTCTTCCTCACTGTCCTCCTCAACCCTGTAAGAAAACCTCGTTTACACACAAACACATGAAGTCACAAATGTGCCGCACTAATCTGTGTGTGTGTGTGTGTGTGTGTGTGTGTGTGTGTGTGTGTCAAGTTGTATTTGTCTTTAATTGTAATAGATGTGTGGTATCACTTTACTTTAAGAGGCCTTATTTAGCATTCATAAACATTTAGTAAAGGTTTCTAAACCACTATAATGCAGTTGTAAGCAGATAAGACGAGCGACCGCTGCTGCTACTAGATGACTGCACTGATGAGTCCGTGTTGACTGTCTTTGTAAATCATGCACTGTTCATCCAGCATGATGATGGCACTCTTGGACATCAGTTTGTCACGTTAAAATCATTTTTGACCCAACGAGCAGCTTCTCCTGTGATGGGGAGATTCCTGTCATGGATGGTTAAGGCCTCAATGAAGAGAGTGCGATGGAGCCCAGGATGTCTTACGTTGAGGATGTTTATTGAAGCTTGGCCGAAGGAGAACATGCCACCTCAATTGTACCTGAAAGGTCCCCTGTGGTTTGTCTTTATTCAGTTTCTCCACATTCCCAGACAACAACTCACGCTCGTGTGCTGGTTACATAAAAGAGAGTCATTTGTTACTGACCGTCCAGGGTCTTGTGTTATCAGCCTTGTCTCCAGCCCTATCACTGAAGAGATACAGCTATGTCCGGGGGAGCTGCCTGAGCGTCTCCTCCTGTAAGATTTAGAGACAGAGACAAAATTCCTTTACATCCTGCTGCTGTCCTGCTTCCCAGCAGAAGAAAACAAAGAGCGGTAAGTGGGTCAGGACTCAGATCCTGGAGAAGGTACAGCAGTCCTTCCTTCCTAAGTATTTTTAGGCTTTGGCCACATGGTGCCAGGACAACATCTTCTCTCAACATCAACAAAACAAAGCGGATGATTGTGGCTCCACAGGAGGAGTTTGACTTCACAGCTACATTAATAAATCTGCTTCAAACTACATTATAATGTGTTTAACATTTGACCTGCTTATAAATGCTACATAGGGGATTTACAGTAAAGTGTAAGCGCTATTTTGAGTGAGTGAGTGAGTGAGTGAGTGAGTGAGTGAGTGAGTGAGTGAGTGAGTGAGTGAGTGAGTGAGTGAGTGAGTGAGTGAGTGACAGTAAATGTAAATAAACTAACTTGGTCCATTGTGCCTCTCAATCCAGATCAGTATCTTCATGACCCACCTGTCAAACTATGGCAATGACCGGCTCGGTCTCTACACCTTTGAGTCTTTGGTGAAGTTCGTCCAGTGTTGGACGAACCTCCGGCTGCAGACTTTGCCCCCCGTCCAGCTTGCTGAGAAATACTTCCAGATCTTCCCTGAGGAGAGGGACCCGCTCTGGCAGGTTGGTGCACTGATTGTGGTTTTGAAGACTAACAGATCATATTTCTACCCACAGCTGTTTGAGATTAAAATGAACTTTGTTTGGAGGAACGGAGAAGACTTTGTTTAGAATTGGACATTTTACTGTCTTAATGTGTTTTTAGAGGAATAACTCATGAAGTTGTCCTTCCTTTGGACTGTTCATTATTTACATCATAGCCAGTTATTAAATCATTGTCCATCATTGAATCAAGCAAAGGTTAAAATAATGTTTGTCCTGGTGAAAGTAAACGCCTCACGTGTCCAACATTTTTTCTTCCATTTTTTCTTCTATTTACTTTGATTTAAAATGTTTCTTTGAGCTGCTGGTGGAAAAAAGGGATCATGTGACTAGTTGATGTATATTGAAGTGTTGAATGTATTTGCTCCTTCGTTAAATGAACCTCCCTATTTTCAGAACCCTTGTCATGACAAGAGACACAAAGACATCTGGTCTAAAGAAAAAACCTGTGACCGACTCCCCAAGTTCCTCGTCATTGGACCACAGAAAACAGGTACCACGCTCTCTCTGGCTCCGTCTCCATCTTTATCTTTGTCTGTATGTTTGTTTCTTCATTATGATAATTGTTTTGTGTTTGCTCAAAGGCACTACAGCGCTTCACTCATTCCTGAGCCTCCACCCAGCGATCACCAGTTCCTTCCCCAGTCCCACCACCTTCGAGGAGATCCAGTTCTTTAGTGGAGTAAACTATGACAACGGGATCGACTGGTAAAGACCCACACTACCACAGTCTGAACACTGCCTCATGAAGCAGATGTTCAGCAGGTTTTTACCAGCAGCTGAATTATCCACAGAGGTGTCCTCCTCTCCACAACAAACACACCAAGGGATTAGAACCAGGAGAAACACCCAGAAAGCAGTTTACCTTTAAAACTCAGAGAATCACTGACGCTCTTCAGAGACACAGGACAGGACGTCTCCAGCAGCTGGGAGCTGAGCTGTCGAACATTTCCTCAGCTTGTTTCTCTGATAACTTCAGATCCAGACGTCCGACGACTAAAATCCTTCATCTGGTTCAAATATAGAGCTGAAAACCACCAAGGTGTCAAAAGTGTATGTGGCTTAAAACTAGATAAAAGTCAATGTTGAGCTTCTGTCAGAAAAACACACTGACACATGATCATAGAGGATATGATGTCATTGAGAGGCGACCAATGAAACGTTACCAGGATTAAAATCACAGATTTCTCTGGTTGGAGAATTGATGGAAACATTTGTGATAATGTAAGAACACAACTCAACAACATAGAGAACAGAGGTGTAGATGTTTTTAGACATTTTATTGTGGAATAGTTACAGATTTTTAACTTTAATTCCACAATCAGTGTCACACTGTTGTTCACTAACAGAACCGGGGCAGTTTCTATCTGTCATGCTGACTTTAGGGTGTAAATACTAGATCTGTTTTCACCATGGCATTGAAGAGTCTTCTCTGTTGACCAATGTCACAAATCAGTATGAAATGGTAACACAATAAAACATCAAATGGTTGAGGAATGTGAAGACTTTTTAAGGCGTTGTTAACTAGTTCTTGTTTTGTCTGTGCTCTCTCCTCAGGTACATGGACTTCTTCCCATTCCCTTCTAATGTCAGCACAGATTTCATGTTTGAAAAAAGTGCCAACTACTTTGACACAGAGGTGGCTCCTAAGAGAGCTGCCGCCCTGCTACCTAGAGCCAAGATCCTGGCAGTGCTCATCAATCCATCGGACAGGGCGTACTCCTGGTACCAGGTGAGAAACATCACACACTCTGCTGGTAGAAGTGCACACACACCCACACACACACACAAGACTGTCAGTCAAAACCCTTTTCACTGTCATATTTGATTGTTGTGTTGGTTAATGACCACAGCACCAGAGGGCCCACCAGGACCCCGCAGCCCTCAACAACACTTTCCATTTAGTGGTGACGGCAGGCCCCTCGGCCCCCAAGGACCTGCTGGCCCTTCAGAGACGCTGCCTTAATCCCGGGGCCTACGCTACTCACCTGGAGCGCTGGCTGCAACACTACCAACCCAGCCAGGTAACACACACCACTCACCTGGCAACGTGCCCTGTCATATTCAACACCTGTGTCCATCCAGATGTTTTTACATAACATATACAGTGATTCGTTTCCACCAACAGGGAACATATAATGTAGCATCTCTGCTCACCAGTTTCCTGCAGAGGAGCTGTTGAATACGCTGGTAGTTCTGTCATTATTTGTAATTATACTGGTAATAGTAGCTGTTGATAAAGTTCCAGTGCACTTCACAAGCTCAACATAAAACATGAACCACAGGGAACAACACAAGCAGCAGCAGCAGCAGCAGCAGCTTCTGAGATCTGAGCAGGCTACAAGCTTTCAGAGAACGCATGATAACACATCAGTTAACACTGACCTCTGACCGTCCCTCTGAGATGTTGTCTTGTTATTCTCCAGTCTGTAATCCGTCTGTAGGGTACTGTTTACATGTTTAACCTCTAGAGGCTACTGACAGTGAATCTGACAACATGTTTGAAGAGCTGAGATCTGAGCCTGGCCTCCATTACAGCAAATAAACTACATTGATTCCATGTATCATTATTACTAAAGGAGGCAGAGGAATAACTAAACATAAGACACAGCGAGCAGAGAGAGCAGGAGAGAGGGAGGGTGAGAGAGAGGACATCAGTAACGAGGCTTCGTACTAATATCACAATAATACATATCAAACAGAGGGAGTCAGACGTAAAGACCTGCCTCTAATAAAAGTCTCTCTCTCAATTCAACAGGCTTTATTGGCATGACATCTCCAATGTGTTGCCAAAGCACAATTATCAATGGAATTAAATGGAAAGGAATTAAATAATCAAAGAAAGACAGATGGAAAAAAAAAATGTCAATAAGAATATTAATATAATCAAATACAATATGTAGCTCTATCTCTCTGGTTATGGTTGTAATAAAGGCAAAAGCCTGAAAAATAACTTTAAAAAAAAAAAGAAAGATATTGTGTCTCTTCTGACCATGTTACAGTAAATCCAGCTGTAATCACAGCTCACTCTTTGTCTTTCATTTATGTGTTTGCTGATTTTGTCAGATGATGTCACAGTCATAAAATCAGGATTTGACCAGAGGTCCAGACATACACTAGGTTTTGAGCTAGACTTGTTTGTTATTTTTTGGGCAGTTTTTATGCCTTTATTTAATAGAGAAAGTGGACAGAGTCAGGAAATGCAGGAGAGAGAGTGGTAGAGAGACATGCAGTAAAGGGTCCAGCTGGCCAGGAGTCAACCTGTAGCTCAGGGCTAAGTTTGACCATATGGTGTGGCCCCTAACCATCCGTACCCTACCCTGTACTTGAGTCTTTTGCCCCCTGATGTCCGCTCACAGATGTAACTCTCCAGATGAAACATTGTATGGACAGAACATTAAGATGCTTCTTCTATTTTGTTGCTATAGATACCATTCAGCACAAACAACACATCATATGGCAGTTAAGGATATATTAAATGGACTCACAGCAGGTCTCCGAATTATACTTACTGACCTGAATGAGTCAGGTCCCTATGATTCAGTGCTGTGCTGTGTGTGTGTGTGTGTGTGTGTTGTGTGTGTGTGTGTGTGTGTTGTGGTGTGTGTGGCGTGTGCTGCCCGCTCCCTACCTCATGTGTTGTCAAACCGCTCAGTTGCTAAACTCCATGGGCAGCCTGTGTGGATGGTTGTGTGTGTGTGTGTGTGTGTGTATGTGTGTTGTAGTTGCACATTGTGGACGGGGCCTTGCTGCGGTCCAACCCAGCTCTGGTGATGGAGGGGATCCAGAGATTCCTCGGTGTCACTCCCGTCTTCAACTACACCCAGGCTCTAATGTATGTTACACACACACACTCACTGTACATCCAGAGAAGCTGTATCCTTAAAGAAACAGTTCAGTATTTCCATAAACCTCATAGGAGAAGAGTCTACTACAACTTGATGTTATCTGCAGGTACGATGACAGCAAAGGTTTCTGGTGTCAGCGGGTGGAGGGAGGTCGAGCCAAATGTCTGGGGAAGAGTAAAGGCAGGAAGTATCCAGAGATGAGTCCTGAGGTACGTCGACACTTCACACTGTCATCAGTGTGCGTCACTCACTGACCGGCATGTGCATCAGCTCGTTAAATCATCTTCAGTCTTGTATCGGATCAGATTATGTTCCCTCATTCTCTTGATCTCTGACCTCTCCTGGTGTGTGTGCATGTCTATGCGTGTGTGTGTGTGTGTGTGTCACAGTCGCGTGCCTTTCTGGCTGAGTACTACCATGAGCACAACATGGAGCTGCTGCGTCTTCTGAATCGTTTGGGTCAACCGCTGCCGTCCTGGCTCCGCCAAGAACTCCAGAGCACCAGCTGGAGCTGAGGCCACAGGCTCCCAGACAGACAGACTGACAGACAGACACACCACAGAGGAGCCGGGACTGGAGTCTGTGGATGAGCCAACTCTTGGCTGTGGATTAGACTGGACTATCTAATCTGGAACCAACAGCAGCACACATTAAAAGAGCTGATGTTACTGGTGCTCCTGTTCCATGGCAAAAAGAAGACAGCATGAGATCTTTGTGAAGGTGCTGGTCCCTGCTGAAGAAGGATCCCAGTGCACCCTCCCTCCAGATCGTGACTTGTTGCCAACCTGCTGCTCACACCGGGCAGCCGTCAGCCTCAGCTGGTGTGTGTGTGTGGGACGACGTCAGTTTGCTGTGGATCCAGAGGGACTGGCTGACCAGCAGGTTTCAGACCGCCTTAACGTGAGGAGAGAAACTCACAGGATGAGACCATGCAGATGTGGAGTGTGTGACTGGACACAGGACTAACATGCACACACACACACACACACACACACACACGTCTCATCTCTCCACATGATGATTGTAAAGCAGTCTATTTTCAAAAGCAATTGTATATGTTAGGTTTGAGGGGGAGCAGACTGACCGGCAGCCTGAAACAGACAGTTCAGACAGACAGTTCTCTGTTACACACACATCTACCTGCAGGTAGGAGCAGCAGTCAGGCTGCTTCGTCACCTTCTCTCCTCACAGTCTGTTCACTGTAGAAACAGACCTGTTAAAATTGATTGAGTTAATATGATGATTGTTCAGTGTATTTATCATGTTTAGATTTGGTCCAGGCTGTGCCCACACCAACATCCTGTCAGCGAGCAGCTCATTACACCTACTCTCAGATGACGACCTGTTCTCCACAGCAGCTACAGTCTCCTTCCATCCTCCAGCCTTCATTTCTTTAATTCACCATCCATGTTCAGAGGAACGCAGCGAGCCACACGACGCACTGTTGTGTAACAGTGATGCTGTAGGACGTGATCTTCAGATATTTGACTTGGTACATGATGTCAGTGTGAAAGCCGAGGTTTCACCTCAGCTCTTCAGAATGTAGTGAGCTGTGTTGGTGACATTCAGTAACAGTCGTTAGTGTTTTTTTCACGGCTCTGGCTGGAGACTTGAAATAGCTGCTGATGCTCATGGGTACTGTAGTATTAAGAGTCGTTGTACATACAATGAGACAGAGTTGTTATTTACAACTGTAGCTACTTTCCAAGAGACTCGTGTGTTTTTAGTGCTGAGGACCATTATTATTATTATTAATTGGAAATGATTCACTTCTTTTATTTAATCATCACTCAGAAAGTGTTTTCACCATTTGAATAGTGATAATTAGTGAAGCAGCTGTTGACACTGATTCTGACACGATGTGATCATGAGGCACAAACCTGGACCAGAGCTATTTCAGACCTGGTGTGGGTGGATTGTGTTTGACTGTGAGAGGGCGACCTCAGTCAGTGAGAGCTGCACTCTGGGTAAAATAAACCCCATCACATGTCAGATATCCTCAAAAACCAAAACACACACACACACAGACACACACACACGTATGTGTGTGAGGACGGTAAACTACGATTGTCAGAGGACAAGAGGACAGACGAGAGCTGTGTGGAGACTGATCAGAAGCTGCTGTCTTGTTGTTTTCTGTTTGTTTTGTATAAATGTCAAAAAGGCCAACACTGTATCATCTCTAATAAACACAGAGAGGTTGGACATGATGGCTGCGGCCCCTTTTCTTCCCTCACTCACCCTCATGTAGAAATATTCAACCTTAAGACAGCAGCCTCAGCGAGCCACAGGCAGGATGGAAACAGATTCTGATGAGGATTTGACGGAGGCTCAGGTAAACTCAAAATAACACAGTGATGACAAGGTTTGATTCGGTGCTTGTGCACACTGACCACTCAACACCAATCCAGAGCGGTTTTAGCAAATACATTATTTATATGTCTCCATGCCGGCGACAGTCAGAGCCGGAGATTCTGTGTGATATCTCAGTAACGCCTTGACAGAACTTCTTCATTTGCCACAGAAATTCACTAGGACTCAAAGAGTGATTACAATTTGGTGGTCAAAGGGCAAAGTCAATGTGACCCATTGCTTGAAGTGGAAAAAAGAAAGTGTCAGTACTCACCTGTGCATTGGCCGATATAAGCAAATTATTTTAAATCTCTACAGTGAATAAAAGACACAGAAATATTACTGGTGTTCACAATATACATTTATTTTCTTAAAGGAACCATTTGCCAAAGTATTAATTTGATACTGTATTGTGTGTGTGTGTGTGTGTGTGTGTGTGTGTGTGTGTGTGTGTGTGTGTGTGTGTGTGTGTGTGTGTGTGTGTGTGTGTGTGTGTGTGTGTGTGTGTGTGTAATAGAACTCATCAGGGTTCAGATCTGCATTAGTGTGACTCCACATCTGTCAGAGGAGGCATGTGATAGACCCTTATTATCAAACTACCACTCCATGTTCCCATGGACAGCAGCATCAAAGATCTCTGAATTAGCACAGACGGACTCTGCAAGGATTAACTCGATTTGTTGAGACGTAACATGTGACTCAATTAGTGGTATCTGGGTAATGCAGTTCATATAGGGTCCAGAACCTGAAATGAGCAGAAAAATGTATGGTACGCTAAAGAGTAAAATAAAGAAGGGCTGGTACTGCAGTTTAACGTCAATGTCTATAAGGATAAAATGAAGTGATGACATTTTATATCCCAAAGGTCAACTTCACTGTGACATCATAATGTTCAGCATAAACACGAAGGAGAGACTGTGACCATTCTTGCTGATATTTGGTGGGTTGGTGGAGGGATACAGACAGTGTGAGGTGGTGATTCTAGTTGATAAGAGGGACACACTACCTACTGGCTGGTGCAGTGTCAATGCACACACACACACACACACACACATATATTGTTCCTGTAGGGACAGACCCTGAGAAAGCTGAATACTGAGACCAGTTCATTGATGGCTACAAGAAGAAGTAACATCAGTCCAAGAACAAGATGATGTTCTCAACTGGGACAAGTGTTCATGAAAAGCCTTAAACACACACACACACACACACACAAAACAGCAGCTATAAAAGGAGATATCACAAATTGCACTCATCCATTGTGTCTTCATCTTCATCTGCAGGTTTACCTGCAGCTGTTGCTTTCCTTCCTGACAGGTGTAAACAGCTCCCACCTGTGGACAGTCTGCAGCCGGCTGAGTGTAACTGTGTGTCTGTGAGGGTGAGGGTCAGTCTGCAGAGTGACGGGCTCTCTGTGGGCTGGTTGGTGCATGGCGCACAGACAGCAGTGATGTCACAGCTCTGTGGAGGCTGAGACATGATGAAAGAAAGCATTTAAGGATCAACAGTCCTCAACAACTACACACAAAAATACTTCAAACACATGGATCGCAAGTAACTTTGTAGAGAAACACACACACAGAGTTGCTCCAAGAAAATCTTGGCCTTAATCTTTGCACAGCTGTCAGCCACCCCCCCACTCCCACCCCCCACCCCCACACACACACACACACACACACAATAAGATGATTTCTTTATATCCTTCCACAAACACACACTTGCAGCACCATACAACTGTAATCTCCTCTGGTGTCGCTGGGGTCATGAATAGTGTTTCCAGGATAACTCACAGTGAAGCGTTTTAAGCGCCAGTGCACCGACCATCAGAGGCAGTAAAATCTACATCATTATGGTCAGTGGTGGATGAGGTCAGAGGGACAGTCACTCCGAGGGCTTTAAGTGATTGTGCGTGAGAAGCCAGACTCATCCTCCCATCTTCAAAGTTTCTATTGTATTTCTTCCAATATTCACCTCAACACTAACCAGCGACAGAAATTCCTTGAATGTTTCTCTGCAGTGGCCTACACATATAAACAACACAGAGATGAAGATTCAGCAGGTAAACAGCTGTTTTTATTCTATAAGATGATGTTTTATTCACAGCCAGAAGACAAAACTGTTGTTCCAGCTTGTAAATTTTCATCTGAACAGGATCCCAAATGTCCTTTTTATTGTGTCTAAATCACTTCAACACACTCGATGTGTCCACTGCTGCTTCTGCAAACATCTGTAACTACTGGAATATAACAGAGGTGTTTACACATTTGTGTACTCTCCAGTTCAATGCCTTTGTTGTCATTGCGCAGTGTACAGCCAAATTCTTTCCAGTGGTACATACAGTAAACATAACTACATACAAGTAGACACATTACAGTCTATAAGTAAATATCAAACAAACAATAAATAGTTTAAAAAATGGAGGAGTGAACTGAATAAGTACATATTTGTTCTCAACATTGGTGGCGACACCACAACCTCTTACGCAGTTTTACATATTTACATTTAAATAGAAACTATACACAGAAACAGATCAAAGACTAAAAGTAAACTTTAGGAAATTACCTGGAAGAGAGTAAAATCAACAAGATTTTTGTATCCAACATCAACATATATATGTACAGTACTGTGCAAAAGTTTTAGGCAGGTGTGAAAAAATGCTGTACACTAAGAATGCTTTCAAAAATGGAAGTGTTAATAGTTTATTTTCATCAATTAACAAAATGCAGTGAATGAACAGAAGAGAAATCTAAATCAAATCAATATTTGGTGTGACCACCCTTTGCCTTCAAAACAGCATCAATTCTTCTAGGTACACTTGCACACAGTTTTTGAAGGAACTCGGCTGGTAGGTTGGTCCAAACATCTTGGAGAACTAACTACAGATCTTCTGTGGATGTAGGCTTCCTCAAATCCTTCTGTCTCTTCATGTAATCCCAGACAGACTCCATGATGTTGAGATCAGGGCTCTGTGGGGGCCATACCATCACTTCCAGGACTTCTTGTTCTTCTTTACACTGAAGATAGTTCTTAATGACATTGGCTGTATGTTTGGGGTCGTTGTCCTGCTGCAGAATAAATTTGGGGCTAATCATACGCCTCCCTGATGGTATTGCATGATGGATAAGTATCTGCCTGTATTTCTCAGCATTGAGGACACCATTAATCCTGACCAAATCTCCAACTCCATTTGCAGAAATGCAGCCCCAAACTTGCAAGGAACCTCCACCATGCTTCACTGTTGCCTGCAGACACTCATTATTGTTCCGCTCTCCAGCCCTTCGGTGAACAAACTGCTTTCTGCTACAGCCAAATATTTCAAATTTTGACTCATCGGTCCAGAGCACCTGCTGCCATTTTTCTGCACCCCAGTTTCTATGTTTTTGTGCGTAGTTGAGTCGCTTGGCCTTTTTTCCATGTCGGAGGTATGGCCTTTTGGCTGCAGCTCTTCCATGAAGGCTACCTGGGTCCCACTGGTTTCTGCCAGTTCTGAGCTGATGGCACTGCTGGACATCTTCTGATTTCGAAGGGAAATAAGCTTGATGTGTTTTTCATCTGCTGCACTAAGTTTCCTTGGCCGACCACTGCGTCTACGATTCTCAACGTTGCCCGTTTCTTTGTGCTTCTTCAAAAGAGCTTGAACAGCACATCTTGAAACGACAGTCTGCTTTGAAATCTTTGTATGGGAGAGATTTTGCTGATGCAGTATAATTACTTTGTATCTTGTTGCTGTGCTCATTGATGATCATTAGCACCTGTTTGGTATAATTGGTTGATCATACATCTGACTATGATCCTACAAAATCCCTGACTTTGTGCAAGTGTACCTATAAGAATTGATGCTGGTTTGAAGGCAAAGGGTAGTGACACCGAATATTGATTTGATTTAGATTTTTCTTTTGTTCACTCACTTTGCATTTTGTAAATTGATAAAAATAAACAATTATTATTTATATTTTTAAAAGCATTCTTAGTTTACAGCATTTTTTCACACCTGACTCAAACTTTTGCACAGTACTGTACATCAGTACTATACTCTTTTTTTGGTGGCATGATATCTACAAAGTCCACAACCTGTTGGTATTGACAGCTTGAAGTTACATGTGCTGCAGTTCAGGCAATAGAAGAAAGGGAGTCATCTGAAATACGACATTTTCACCCATGCTTGAGGTCTGGACTGACACTGATCTGCTCTCGCCTCCTCCATGTCTGGCAGTAAGTGTTTTAAATGCAAAGTAGTCATGGTTAATCTGGCCAAAAGATATGAAGATACATATGAAGATCTTTTTTTAGAAGAATCACAATCCACGATCTGAATCTTTATTTTACTCACCTTGTCCGCTGACGTCTTGGAGCAGGAGAAGAGGAAGAAGCACCCAACTGATGTGGGAGTCACACCATCAATGAAATCTGTGAGGGAGGGAGAGAAGCCGACAGCCACAAAGAGAACAAAGAACAACATACTGCAAACAGCACAGTCATGGGAGTTGAGGTCAGACCTGGGAAGAGGACTGCACTTCCCCCAGGTTGTCCAAACAACCATGAGGCCAGATGTCCTGTGGTCTCAGGAGGTTAAAAGGTTGTCCTAACTGATCTAACTGTCCTGTAGGAAGAGGCCTGTGTCACAGTCTCCCAAAAGAAAGAATCAAAGTATCAAGACCTACAGCAGGA